TTCACCAAGTAGATTCCAAATCATAGCGACCCTAGAGAACAGAGCAGAATTGCCCTTGTGGGTTTCCAAGACTGTATATCTTTATATGAGGAGAGCACCTCATTTTTCTCCTGTGGAGTTACTAGTGGTTTCAAAATGATGATCTTATAGCTCAGAGCCCAACTGTAACCCACAAGGCCCCCATGGCCTCATGCCATCTTACTGTAGGCTGAATTAACTAGTAGCTGTGGATCCTGTATAGATATTTAACAAAGTGCTGGTAGTAATAAGCACTGAACTTATTGCTATGTCAATCCTTCTACTGAGCTATAAACTTTGAAAGTCAAGAAGTGAGTAGGGTGCACAAAGCCAGAGATGCATAAAACAAATCTAATAGTTTGGGGCCAGAATCTATTTTCACACTCATTTCCATATGGCAGGACTTCCCTGGGGTATCATTCTTGGCCTGTCTCCTGCTTTCCTTGTCCTCCATTGGGGGTGGGTGAGAGATCTGGAGATGTTTGGAAGAAGGCACTTGGCACACTCAGCTTAACCCCTGCTGCCCTCCCCTCCCTCATAGCTGTCTGCCTGCAAAGTAGAGCATGCTGGTTTGCTCTCCCGGTCATAGGGATACATTCTGCCTTGAGGCAGCAGCAAGGGCTACAACCTGGGGAGGGGGTAAGTTTCACCCATGTAGAGTGTCAGCTAGACAGTCTGTTCAGTCGTATACTCAGCCAAGTCTACCACTGTTGTGCCATCGGTAATAAACCTGACATTTTGACTTCAGGCTTGAAACCTCTTTCACTCAACTGGTTCTAAACTTGTGTGGGAAAAAGGGGACTGGTACGATGATGGAGCTCCCATAAATACCTTCATGATCCACAGAACATCTTTTTTTTGACACACCTAGCCTCTAAGTTTTTATTTTCTTTTATTTTCCCATCTGTATAAACTGATGGCGCAAGCCACTGCCATCAAGTTGATTCTGAATCATAGCAACCTTACAGGACAGAGTAGAACTTCCCTGCGGGCTCTCCAAAGCCGTGACTCTCTTCAGAAGCAAACTGCCACATCTTTCTCCCACGGATTGGCCAATGGGTTTGAACTGCCAACCTTTGCGTTAGCAATCAAGTGCTTAACCACTTGTACTACTAGTACTCATTTCCAATCAGTTTAAGACATTCTGGATATTCGGTGAATCGTGATCATTTCAGTGATAACATGCAGCTGTGTTCCCCAGGACAACTATTCCTGGGCTGTGGCAGCTACTCCCTTTTGATCAGACATGCACTGCCCACTTCTCCTGGTTACCACCTGGGTTGAGTTGCTGAATTTAGCAAATAAAAAAATAGGAAGCCCAGCTGAACTCCCAGTTCAGAGAACAGTGTTTATTATTTTTTCCCCAATATTAAGCATGGCCCACATGAAGTTCCTGTGTTGATGCAGTTAAGTGTGAGAAACAGAAAGATTTCTCCCAAGTTGTCTCCCCCAAATATAGGACAAACAGCTGTTTGCTACACGTGGTGAATGACTATACACTTGGAGGTCAACAGATGTAGGTCAGGGGTTATTCTCCCTAAGGGTTATCAGCCATCCAGAGCAAGCAGTCACCACTGTTTATCCCACAACAAGTAGGGGCCACTCCCTTCTGATAAGGATAGTAGGAAATTATTTCCCTGAAGGAGAGCCCTTGGCCCACGCTGTGCACGGACCTGGCTGGTAAGATCATGGCCATCTAGGGGGTGAGCATGCTATTATGAAATGTGTCTGACTTCTTTATTTTATTCTCTCCTATCTCTCTCACGCTCTATGACTTTATTGTAATCTTTATATATCTCAACTGTACAATTGTGCTTACTGAACCCGATTAGTTGTGGGGGGGGGCTGGCCTTTCCTCCACAGTTAAGCCTTCAATTGCTAAGCAGACAGTTGGCCACTGCAATTCACCCAGAGCTGCCTCAACCATAAGGTCTGACAATCTTCTGAAAGGTCTTGGCCACGGGAAGCCCTTCGACACCTCGTGGTTGCATAGGCTGGTGTGCTTCTTCCATGTGGGCTTTGTTGCTTCTGAGCTTGATGGCCGCTTGATTACCAAGACGATTTTGAAGAGGGACTTGAGCAGACAAGGTGAAGGATGATGAGGAAATGTACAAAGACTCGGCATTAGAAAACCGTAAGGGGAGAAAGCACTCAGCATTTCTCAACTAGAAGAGAGGAAGAAAAACTCAAACCTTTAAATTACAGTATTTAAGGATTCTATGGGCAAAAATGCTGAATGATGCAGGACGCGTCAAAAGAAGAAGGAAGGAATTCCTAAAATCCCCGTATCAGAAAACAATCTGTTCCATTTCAGGACATGGCATATGATCAAGAGTGTACGGTATTGAACAAAGAAGTCTAAGCTGCACTGAAGGCATTGGGGAAAATGATGGTCCAGGAATTGGCAAAATACAAACTGAGATGTTTCAACAAAAGGCAACACTGGAAGCACTGCTAATAAATTTGGGAGACGGCTACCTGGCTTTGCTCCTTCCAAAGAATGGAGATCCAATAGAATATAGGAATTATTGAACAGTATCATTAACATCACATGCAAGTAAAATTGTGCTGAAGATAATGTTTAAGTTGTTGCAGCAGAAATTCCAGCTGGAGTCAGAAAAAGACGTGGAACAAGGAATATCATTCATGACGTCACATAGAACTTGGCTGAAAGCAGATAATACCAGAAAGATGTGTACCGTGTTTTGGTGAGTATCCAAGGCATTGGACTCTAGGGCCATAACTATGATGAAGACAGTAAAGAATAGGATTTCCAGAACACTCTATTGTGCTCGTGTAGCACATGTACATAAACCAAGACACAGTCCTTTGACCAAAACAAGGAGATGCTGCTAGGTTTAAAACAGGAAAGGTGTATGTCGGGGTTGATTTCTTTCACCATACTTAATTCAGTATGCATACTGAGTGAATAATCTGAGAAGTGGAACTATAAGATAAAGAATATAGTATCAGCTGGAGAGAAACAATATGCATATGCCACAACCTTGCTTGCTGAAAGCAATAAGGACTTAAACTACCTACTGAAGAACAGTAAAGACAACAGCCTGCAGTATGGGGTGCACCCAAACACACAAAAAAGCAAAATTCCTCACAAATGAGAAAATTTTAAAGGTGTTAAGAATTTTGTTTTTCTTGGATCCACAATCTATACCCATGAAAGCAGTAGTGGAGAAATCAAACAACATATTGCATTGGGCAAACTACTGCACAAGACCTCTTTAAACAGTTAAAAAGCAAAGATATCACTTGAAAAACGTTGGTGTGCCAGACTCAAGCCATGGTATTTTCAATGATCTCTCACACAAGAAAGCTGGACAATGAATAAAGAAGACAAAAGAGAATTGATATCTTTGAATTACGATCTTAATGAAGGACATTGAATATACAACAGACCATGAAAAGAATAAACAAATCTGTTTTTGAAGAAATATAGTCAAAATGGTCCTTAGAAGAAAAAAAGGCAAGACTTCATTTCATGTACTGTGGACATGCTATTAGGAAGGACAAGTCTCTGGAGAAGGAAATCAAGCTTGGTGAAGTACAGACCAGCAAACTGAGAAAAACAAAACAAGAGGAAGACCCTCAATAAGATGATGTGACCCAGCAACAATGGGCTCAAGTATAGCGAAGATTGTGACATGGTTTCTGCGGTGTACCTGGGAGAACTATGAGTCAGAACTGACTCAAGGGCACCCAACAACCACTACGATCTCGTTTTGGAGGGATGGCTAAACGTCCTGAGAAAGCTGACATATGTTATGGCCCAGCAATTGTACTGGAAGGTATAAAGCTGCTGTGACCCTTTACATGCCCATCAACAAGCCTGAAGCTTTCAGTATTCCACATGCTCACAGAAATCTGTGCAGTACTGCGGTTTTTATGTGCATAGGGTGCTGTCCAGTAAGAGTCGGGCTGCTAACTACAAAGGTGGCAGCTCAAACCCACTAGCTGCTGTGGGAGAAAGATGAGATGATTTTCTCCCATGAATACTTGCAACCTCAGGTCCTAGGGTGACCCAGCAATCTCCTTGAGGAGCCATGTTAGCAGAGAACTACCAGGCATCTTTAGTACTGTCTCTCCCTCCTCATTCCTCTTACACAGTCACTTGGAAGTCTTAGTGATACTGCATCTCAACTAACTTTCAAGTCACCAACTTATATTAGCATGGAGAAGGAATTGGGGCATATGTACTCATGTCTTCCCAAAGGGAACACGGAGTCCAGTAAGTCTGTGTCAATCTGATACAATTGTCAAAATGCATATAATCAACTAGATATGTCTATCTATCTATCTATCTATCTATCTATCTATCTATC